GATTTAAACAGTATATAAACCTTCCTTCCCCGCATCTTGTACCAAGTTTAGATAATCATTTCTCAGTTTAAAAAAACAAACAAGCAAGTCAAGTTTGTTATCCTATAGAGCAGAGACAGGAGCTGTGCAGCCAGCCAGGTGCTGCTAAACTGCAATTTCCATCATCTTTTGCACCCAACTGTGCTGGCTAGGGCTGATGGAAATAGCAGTCCAACAACATCTGGAGGGCACTTATTCCCTCTCCCCACCTTCGCTACAGACAGTAATTGTGTCTCTTTCTCTTGTTACTACAAATTGTAAGGGAGGTTCTTTTGCATTGACTGGGTCACTAAAGACAAGGAAGCCTTTAAAATAAAAAGGTGCCTTACTAAAAGTTCTCTACATTACTGAGCAATGATAGTGGGCAGGAGTCAAGTACAGTCATATGGGAGAAGAACCAAAAGAAAACTTTCACAGGCCGCCACCCCCCTCCCAAAATCAGAACTGACACTGGCACACTCCAAGACTAGTAGTGATGATGGCACAGTACACAACAGCTCAGCTCAACGGAGTATTCTTCATTAGGATGCAGCACAGCTATCTCCCAGTTGGCAATGGGGACTGAGAAGCTGTAAAGAAATGGAAGTTGGATCTAAGCAATGAATTCCCCATTCAATGCAAGATCCCAGCATTTACTCAAGGACTTGAGTTTACTGTGCTTTGTTCTGCACAATGGGGACAGGAAGTCTCAGAGCAGAAAGGGGTCACAGCCCCTCACTTTGAAGGCCAGCAGTCCCATGGGAGGGTCTGCTGAGCCAGGATGCTGAATCCCATGGCAGGAAAATAGCACCGTTTTAAAGGAATGGGAAGGAGCAGAGACAAACAAAGGCTTTGAAGGAACAGGAGCAGACTCTTTATATACAGCATGCAGGTAGGGGACAGGTGGCAGATGCCAGAAAGCACTGCCCAGGTACAGCCTGCTAAACAAATGCACATCTGAAAGCCCAGAGTGTCAGAGTTACTTGTTAGTAACTGGTCTTGGGCACTAAAGGGCTCTGCAAAAGCAAAATTAAGCACATGAGGCTGCAGTCGGGTGGGGCTGGAAAAACCTGATCACATAAACTTTTAGGTGAGATCTGGTAGCTACTGAAACAACATACATCTTCCAGTTCCTGTCCTGCAAACTGGTTTGCCTTAGTGTGTTCCACTTGCGGACCGATCTAATTTTCTACTGACTGCTACAGCTGTCTTAATCCTACTATTTGGATTCTTTTTCAGTTTTTAACGTTATCTCTGTGGGTCTGTTTAGCACAGGATTGGAGGTACTTTATACTGCGTCATACCATTGGTCCATCTAGCCCTATAAATTCTAACCAGCAATGACTCTTGGGTTTCAGGAAAGACTATTTTCTAGCCCCACATGGAGATCCTTGGTATTTCCTTGGCAGTGTTTATCAGACCCAGTCTTCCATAGTTCTTGAAAACAGACAAAACAAAGTTTTGGCTCAGTTTCAGAGGGCCAGCTTCAGGTTTAAGGGCATTAACAATTTCCTGCCCTGCTTTTCTATTTGACCTTTTCAATACTTATTTCTGTTAATTTAATGTAAGTGACACAGCATGGTTAAAACAGATATAGCTCTTTTCTGAATAAGCATCTGCCTGGACCCCATACAGTTATACTAATCCTATATGAGAGCAAACCTTCATCCAGCAGTATCTCTTTAAGCACCAGTTTTGTGCCATTTAGCTATAAATGACAAAGTCCTAGTGGTGAGGGCTTCAGCTGCATATCATTAGCTGCACATGCCAGATACTTTTATGAAACGGTGACTGGCTCCCCAGTGCCAGCAACCAGTATCTTCCTTTGAAATGTTTCTCTTTTTTTCAGATTGATAGACTAATCAGAATTCATCTAGATAAGGCTTCCACTATTTTAGGAAGACTTGTTCCCGTGATTCATGCCCAGAAGCACTTCTAATAAATAATTCAGTTCCCACATTTAGGGAATTTTATTCAGGCTGTTGGTCAGAATACACTTAAACATTACACCTGCAAAGCATGGAAAAGGCTAAAAGAGTGGACAGACAGACAGACAGACAGACAGACAGACAGACACACACACACACACACACACACACACACACGAGTAGGGCTCCTGATCATGGGAAGTCTGGCTGCCTTCACCCTCACTACACATTTAACTGTATCTATCATTCCTGGCTTGTGCACAATCAGATGAAGAATGCCTCAACAAATTGTTTTTCAAATTAGCACACCAAAGGCTCAAATCCAGTCATTAATTGTAACTAGAGTAGATCCATTGGCAGAAATCCTGGTGCTTACCATAGTAAAGTAGGCCCACGGAATCAGTGGGCATTTGATTTAAATGGGCCTACTCTAATTGTGATCGTCTATGCTAAACAACTGGTCATCACAAACACTCTTTTCCAACAACACAAGCAGCGACTCTACACATGGACATCACCAGATGGGCAATACCGAAATCAGATTGATTATGTTCTCTGTAGCCAAAGATGGAGAAGCTCTATACAGTCAGCAAAAACAAGACCTGGAGCTCATTGTAGCTCTGATCATCAGCTTCTTATAGCAAAATTCAAGCTTAAATTGAAGGATGTAGGAAAAACCACTGGGCTAGTCAGGTATAATCTAAACCAAATCCCTTATGAATACACAGTGGAAGTGAAGAACAGATTTAAAGAATTTGGTCGACAGAGTACCTGAAGAACTATGGATGGAGGCTCGTAACTTTGTACAGGAGGCAGCAACAAAAACCATCCCAAAGAAAAGGAAGTGCAAGAAAGCAAAGTGGCTGTCCAATGAGGCCTTACAAATAGCAGAGGAGAGAAGTGAAACAAAATGTAAAGGAGATAGGGAAAGTTATAGAAAGTGGAATGCAGACTTCCAAAGAATAGCAATGAGACAAGAGGACCTTCTTAAATGAACAGTGCAAAGAAATAGAGGAAAATAATAGAAAGGGAAAAACCAGAGATCTGTTCAGGAAAATTGGAGATATTAAAGGAACATTTTGTGCAAAGATGGACATGATAAGGGACAAAAACGGTAGGGACCTCACAGAAGTAGAAGACATCAAGAAGAGGTGGCAAGAATACACAGAGGAATTACACCAGAAAGATCTGGATTTCCCAGACAAAGTTTGGAAAACTCAGCAGTGGCCAGAGGATTGGAAAAGATCAGTCTACATCCCAATCCCAAAGAAGGGCAGTGTCAAAGAATGTTCCAACTACAATTGCACTCATTTTATCATCAAAGGTTGTTCATTCTACTTTTCATATATTGAACAAAGAGTGGGCTCAAATTGATCCTTACAATAAATAAAGTTGCATTTTGTCAAGTAATCCCTATCAGAAGAAAAAGGGCACATAAGCTACAGGTTCTGCGTACGATTTTCCTGATACTGTTCTGATACTACCCATGAAGCAATCTGCCTGCCTTCACCCATCAGATGTGTCCACGGTTCCTTCTCCAACTCCTCCAGGCTCAGCTCTGGATCTACCACCATCCCACCCCACTTAGTGGGTTAGAATTTTTTTTAAATCCTAATTTTGCAAACTTGCTGCTAACCACTGAGACATGACTAGGAAAGCAAAATGTTGAAAAATAGTAACAGATTTATAAAAATGAAAGTGTCCCTCTCTTGAATATTCACAGTTACTGCTGGACTCATTAACATGAAACACTAGTTAAACTTTTGAAGCTTCCACCAGAGGAGAGATATGGGGAAGTATGTCGAGATTTCTCCATTAAATGAGAAATGTGCTTGCCAAACTGAAACCTAGCAATATTCAATAACAAATTGGTCAGAAATTGCCAGTTCAGACACTGTTATATAGAATTCTTGAAAATGCAATGTGAATCATATGTTGACAGATAAATAAAACTTCTACAGGGGTACAAAGACAGAATTTCATAGGCAAATAAAGGACTTATAAGATTTTCCGTATCATATCTGTAAGCTAAACAGGTTTTTTTTTTCACACTAGAATAATAAATTAAGCTTTTGGTTATAAACTAAAATAATAAAATGGGGGGCTTTCCTTGGAAACCGCAATCCATCACTGATACTCATAGTATCAGTGTAGTACCGTAGCTAATGTAGTTATTTTAAGCCTTCTTCTAATGTTTTCTCACAAAACAAATGAGCAAAGCAGCCATAATATTTGTTCCTGATAATTCTTGCAAGATTTTGACTTAAAGTAAAAGAAAGGAAAGGATCATTGCATTAAATATTATTTTCTACCCAAGTCATCAGCTTGATATGTAGTGTGGTGTACTCCAAATGTCTCACAACTCACATCAGTACCAGCTAGCATACAGTAGCTAATGGTATGAGGGTTGTCCAAAATATCAGAAAAACACCAGGTTGCCTAAGCCTCTCAAATCTTCCACAGTGACAGGAAGCCAATCAACAACTTTTTAAAAAACAACAACTTTCCTTGGTAGGCATTTGGCAAATATCCAGAGCAGTGTCACCATTGGAAAAGGATGGGATGCTGTAGCCCAAAAGCCATATGGAGGTCATAGTTCTGTGGTCCTGCTCAGGGGGAAAAGGAAACCATGACCATGTAGAAAGCACTTAAATGTCTCTCCAAAGGACTTTGTTGAACAGGCAAATGGACAACATGATGCTTTTAAGTGACAGCAACATTCCTTACATGGAACACAGGGATGGCTTCACTGGATGCCTAAACTGGTCTCAAAGCATCTGTTGAGGCAGGAAAACAGCTGGAGGAATGCAGACACTAGCCCATAATTACCTCTGAGATAATATAATTAATTATGCAATGTCCACTCCAGTCCAACTTTGTTCTTGTGAAGAATTTTTTTTATATATAAATTCTTTGTTCATTTCCTTCTGAGCACAACAAAAGGCTTGGTGGATGAGTTATCAAATTCCATCAGCCCCATCACCATATATGGCAATGCTAAATATTTGTTGCATTCACAAAAACACAGGTATCCTGATCATATTATGTACTCACAGCTTTCGCAGCGGTTCCCAGTATAGCCTGCCAGGCAGGCACATTTGTAACCACCAATTTTATCAAGGATGCAGGTTCCATCATGAAGACATGGAGATGAAGAACAACCTGGGGGAAAAAAGCATAAGGCGGATTTCTCAGTTTCTTCCTTCAGTTTCCTTCAACACTCTTATCCTGCCCAAACCCATTCACCACAGTAAAATAGATGCATGGCATGTGTCCTTCAATGAACATTTCTGTTTGGTAGAAGGAAACATAACTCTTTCAGGTTATAAATTGTAGTAAGAAACTGATTCTTAAGATTCTTCTGTTTATCCAGTTTCTTGATGTACTAAGCATTATTCATTGTGATAAACAATAGACAAGACAACAAGAATTAGGGATGAAGCTAAAGTATGCCTGTTGTGGGTTTTTCGGGCTCTTTGCCTAAATGAATGAACTTTCTAAAATGTCTAATTTAAGGGCAAGAGCTGCTCAAGAGACAACCCCTTGATCCTCATATATATCATCTGAGCTGTCTACATATCCTGCTCCCTAAGGGACTAACTTGCTCAAGTAGATAGAAATGAGGTATGTGCACAGTCGTGACCTGACCCATTAAGATTTTAGAAGACCAGAAATAAAGCCATAGGGGGAAAAGTCTGTTGGAAAGAAACTTGCATAACTGTAGAGCTGCAATTATAGCAGTATGGCCTATAGAGATCACATAATAGTGAAATGTCAATAAAGAGATCTAGGGATGCAGGAAGCTCTTTAAAAGGATCTTAATTAAGGCAATGCAAGAATAGAGTCCTCAGCAAAGGTGGGGAGGCAAGGCTTTCCATATCAAACATAATACATCACTGTAATTTATGATAGAAAAGGGAAACATGTAGGCCTCCAAATGCTGGATTTCAGTTATTTTCTGCCCTAACCAGAAGAGTCAATGTCGAATGTGTGCATTGCACTCCAACAATAAAAGCTGGAGGGGTGCATCCCTATGTTCAAAAAGGGCAAAAAAGAGGAACCTGTGAACTACAGGCCAGTCAGCAGGAAATTAATCCCAGACAGAATTCTGGAACAGATTGTGAATGGTCATTCTGCAAGCACGTAGAAAACAATGCAGTAGTAACTAGAAACCAACATGAATTTGTCAAGAATAAATCTTGCCAAACTAACTTGATCTCTCTCTCTCTCTCTTTCTTTTTCTTTTTCTTTTTGATCCAGTCACCTCCCTGATAGACAGAGGGAATGCTGTAGATGTAGTATATCTTGACTTCAGCAAAGCTTTTGACAAAGTACCCCATGATATCCTGATTAGCATGCTAACTAGGTGTGGGCTGGCTAGAGCAAGTGTCAGGTGGATAAACAATTGGCTACAGAATCGTACTGAGAGGGTGATGATTAATGGGTCCTTCTTTAAATGGGAGGAGGAAACTAGTGGGGTACTCCAAGGCTCAGTCCTGGGTCCGGTGCTCTTCAATTTTTTTAATGACCTGGATGAGGGAGTGCAGGGAATGTTTGTCAAATTTGCAGATGATACCAAATTAGGTGGAATAGCTAATACCCTAGAACTGGTGCCCCCAACCCCAGGTCTGTGGCCCTATACCGGGACATGGCCGCAGAGACTGGGTTCCTGCCCCCCATGCAAACACTCCACTCACACACACACTCACATGCATGCATGCACGGGCCTGCCCACCCATGCACCCACACATGGGTGTCCTGCACACACAGATGCCCCACCCAAGCACGCACGTATGCACAGGCACCTGCCCACCCACATGCAGATGCCCCCCCCGACACTATACTGGCCCACGGTTCAGAAAAGTTTGGGGACCATTGCCCTAGAAGACAGAAACAAAATGACCTTGATAGGATGGAACACCGAGCCAAAAGCAACAGAATGAAATTCAACAGGGATAAGTGCAAAGTACTGCACCTCAGAAAAAGAAAACAATTGCACAGTTACAAGATGGGGGATACCTGGCTCAGCAAAACAATGAGATCACAAGCTAAATGAGATCCAAACAGTGAGATGTGCCTACAGAAAAGGCAAATGCTATTTTAGGCTGCATTAATAGAAGTATAGTTTGCAAATGCCAAAAGGTGCAACTCCCCCTCTATTCAGCATTGGTTAGGCCTCACCTTGGGTATTGTGTTCAGTTTTGGCACCACACTTCAAGAAGGATGGTAGCAAATTGGAACAAGTTCAGAGGAGGGCGAAAAGGATGATCAGGGAGCTGGAAACCAAATCTTATGAGGAAAGGCTGAAAGAATTAGGCATGTTTAGCCTTGAGAAAAGAAGACTAAGGGGTGATATGACAGCACTTATCAAATATTTGAAAGGCTGTCATACAGAGGAGTGGTAAGATCTGTTCTCGATCATCCCAGAGTACAGGACACACAACAATGGGCTCAAGTTAAAGGAAGCCAGATTTTGGTTGAATATCAGGAAAAACATCCTGTTAGAGCAGTACAACAGTGGAATCTGTTACCTCGCGAGTTGATGACTGTTTCAACAATGGAGGCATTCAAGGAAAACTTAGATATTCACCTGGCAGATATGCTTTGATTGTATTCCTGCATTGAGCAGGGGGTTGGACTTGATGATTTTGTAGGCCCTTTCCAACTTTACTTTTCTATGATTTCTATGTCTCCTATTTTTTATTTTAAGCACTGATTAACCAAACCAGAACACTTTTCATTTTCCTTTTTCTTCAATAAATAGTAAGGAACTTTAGGACTGTAATTCTAGCATGTAACCATTTATTTTTTAGACCACTACACAATCTGCCATTAACATTAAGCACAGGAGAACAGCCAAGTCAGCTCTTGTTCATCTTGTTACACTGGTCTGAACTACTTCTTAGGAGGGTTTGTGTTTTTTGCACAGTGTACCACTTTTAAAAGAAAGATTTCACCCTGCTATATCTTGTTAAATTAGTGCTGCCAGAGGTCTCCATCCCACAGTTTTGTCAAGCCCCCCCTCCAGCCTCTTCACTCCCCATGCAAATCACATTATTTCCCATAAACAGTGTCAGTGGCCAGGTTAATGATTTGCAAAAGAGAGTGTTTTAAAAGCTTTTCATTTGAGCTGCACCACGTTAAGGCCAGTACAGCTTCACAATAAGGCACACACAATAAAGCTTCCTTATAAAACTGTAAGCCCTTGGTATCCCACCCTGCATAGATTACCACAGTAGCAACTACCCAATCTCTAAATAATTACTGCTAAAAATGGGGTGGGAAGGAAAGTAGGTTGCAGCCGTGGAATACTAAAAGGCTCCTGCTGAGCAGAAGAAACAAGATCCATTCATTCCACCCTGTATGGAGTATGTTAGTCCCATGAGTATGGGAGGCCTTGCTGCGGGATACCCCACACCATGTTAGATTTCAAGGAGCCAACTTTTGTTTTTCATAGACCCATACTTCTTGCATCTCCTGTGATGGTACTGTTTGGATTCAATGCAATAGCAAGATGAGAAATCATGATATATATTCGTGAAGGCTTTCACGGCCGGGATCTAATGGTTGTTGTGGGTTTTTCGGGCTCTTTGGCCGTGTTCTGAAGGTTGTACTTCCTAACGTTTCGCCAGTCTCTGTGCTCTGGTCCTGTCCTCTGAAGATGCTGGCCACAGAGACTGGCGAAACGTTAGGAAGTACAACCTTCAGAACATGGCCAAAGAGCCCGAAAACCCACAACAACCAATCATGATATAGTCTGTCAGCTGTTAAGGCATCCAGATGTAAAAAAATAGCCCTGTTCAACTGAGAGGTAGAGTCAAACTAGATGTGAAAAGAAAGGTGAATTCCTTGTGATTAGCATGTTCTTTTTCTGACAGCTGCAATTCCCAAAGAGGAAACACAAAGGCAATCAGACTTGCAAATGAAGTCCAAGCTTATTTTCCAGTGACCAATCATAAAACAGAGCTCACTGGAATTCAAAATACTGAGATAAGTGAAGATGAACAATACCATGTGCTTTGACAATCAGCAATATTTTGCCATTTAAAGAAGTACCAGTTATGACAAACTAACTGTATTAATTAATTTTACACTCATACCTAGGAAGAAGAAATCTGCATTTAAAGGCATTTCCCTACCAAAAACATGTACTGTCTTGAACAAATAACCAACTCTTCTATTCAGTTTACTCAATTTCAAAACCTTATTTTGTTGTCTTAAATACGATTTCCACAGTACTAATGGACAAATTAAACATTCATGACAGTGTATTCCCTACAATAATCTTATCTTCTTTCCGCAATGGGATTTCCTCAGAAGTATAGTCCTCAGCAATCATGCTTGTACATTCAGCTTGTGTTACTTTCCACAGACTAATACAAAACATACTAAATTAAAGATATGAAGATGAGGAAACACACATCATTTCTCTTTCTTTCTTTCTTTCTTTCTTTCTTTCTTTCTTTTTCTTTCTTTCTTTCTTTCTTTCTTTCTTTCTTTCTTTCTTTCTTTCTTTCTTTCTTTCTTTCTTTCTTTCTTTCTTTCTTTCTTTCTTTCTTTCTTTCTTTCTTTTTCTTTCTTTCTTTCTTTCTTTTTTTCTATCTATCTGTCTGTCTATCTATCTGTCTGTCTACTTGCCTGCCTACCTACCTGCCTGCCTACCTACCTACCTACCTACCTGCCTGCCTGCCTGCCTGCCTACCTACCCACCTAATGTATTTTACCCCACCTTTCTCCTTAAAAAGGTCCAATGCAGCTTGCACTGCTAAAAGACAATGTTTAAAGCTGAAAACAGTGAATATACAAATACGAAAAAAGATCAAACAAATACCCTTCTCCTTCTTACCAGTAATTTCTTCAAAGATGGCATGAAACCCATCAAAGTTCTTAGAACCATCTGACTGGAAGAGAACGTGGAGTGAAGACCCTGAGCTTCGTACTGGTGGAGGTCTGCCATTCCCACAGAAACGCTTAATTATTCTGCTATCAATGCTGTCCCCATCTCGGACTTCCACATAATCATACTGGCACATGTAATCAAACTCCAGACTCAGCATGGCAAACCTTGGAGTTAGAATTAGGAGTGAGGGAAGGGACAATAAAATGAAATGTCAATGCTCATTTTCCATAGGAATGAATTTCTAAATTACTTGCATGCTATCAGTCTGAAAAAGCCTGGCACTGAAGATCTTATTTCTTCACACAAGTTTCATACAGAGGGAAGTCTGGCAACAATCTAGTATGGAATGCCCCCCTCCCCTGAGTAAACAATACTGATTTAAATGGATTTAAATGGATAAACAGTCTGATCTGGAGCAAGGAACTTTTATCTGTCATTATGTTATAGTCACATGTTAAGAGGTAGTTAGTGGTATCACCATGAGCATACAGTAGTTGTTTTCTACACAATTGGCCCAAACTGGATAGGCTACTACGCTGGAACTTGGAGCAACCACATTCTAGTTCCCATTGAGCCATGAAGCTCACTGGTGACCATGGGCCAGTTGCTCTCTCTCAGCCAACCCCCCTCAAAGGCTTGATATGAGAATAAAGAGCTCAGGAGAAGACACACATGGACTGCTTTGAGCTAATCATAGGAAGGGTGGGAGATATAAATGCAATTACTAAACATAGAAGGGATTTCATGAATAAGCAATATTGGATTTACTTTATAAACATACGGAGAATGACGAAAGACATTGTATAGGAAGAGGTTCTCAAGGAGAGTGAAAATGGGACCTTCCAATTTTCACATTATGAAAAAGAAATTAGAGAGAGTAATCTACCCCGAATAAACACAAAAATTGGCCAAAATCCAGTTGTAAATCATGAGTGGAGTGGATCTATTGAATCAATGGAACCTACATAGCTTTTGGCTCACCAAATCCCAAATAATTCAACAGGCCTACTCTAGTTGCAACTTACTACTGCAATTCAACCATATAGTAGTACAGACAAAAAAAATCCATTTGAAAACCAGCTACTAATCAGGGTGTTCTCCCCCCCTCCCATTTTTGTTGTTTGTTTTGTTTTTTATAAGGAAAGACAATTGGGCAGCACTGAAAGTTCCCTTTTAGGAATTTCTGGATTAGTGGGAATCTAATTTTTCAAAAAAAAATTGCAGATGTACTTCTCTCTGTTGGCAGTTGTGATCCAAAGTAAAGTAATGGGACACTGGCATTGGTATAAAATAGGTGGAGAGAGATATCAGGGAACTCTGGGCTTTTTTCATTGTAGCATCAGGGCTAGAAAAAAAATGCACAAGTTCTTCTGACTTTGAGAAGGATGTGCAAAGTTATAAATATTGGGGAGATTTAAGACATCATGGAAGAATTACGAAATAAGCGGTAGAAAGAAATCACTATACATTTAAAGGGACGTGGTGGTGCTGCAGGTTAAACCGCAGAAGCCTCTGTGCTGTAAGATAATAATAAGTAGCATCAGGGCTAGAAAAAAAATGCACAAGTTCTTCTGACTTTGAGAAGGATGTGCAAAGTTATAAATATTGGGGAGATTTAAGACATCATGGAAGAATTACAAAATAAGCGGTAGAAAGAAATCACTACACATTTAAACTCTACAAAAGAGATGAATGTGCATCTTTAATCAGGTACCAATCTGTGGAGGGAATTGTCCTAGTTCAGTGTTAAAACAATCGGCTTGCATGTCCCAAGGTACAGCTGGAGAAAATTTCCATACTGAAGCCTTAGAAAACAGCTGCTAGTCAAAAACCAATAGGACAAGACTACATGGACCAATGGTCTGACTCAGTGTACAGCAGCTTCATCCCAAACTGCTCAAAATATGTGAGAAATATAAAATAAGTAATATGAACATAAGTAGTGCTGGCTCAGACCAAGATCTCATCTACTCCAGCAGTCTGTTCCCTCTGTGCTCAACCAGATGTCTATGAGAAGCCTGTAAGCAGGACATGAGTTCATATCATCTAGCAACTTGCATTTAGATCAGAACCATACTGAGAAATTTTAGTGCCCAAGGATCTGCTGCACAATTAATTGGTTATATTTGGGTCATGTAATACTGGCACACATGGGAATATCAGAGCAACACAGGACAGAGGTGTGTGCAGGAAAAGTTGAGTATGAGGTGCAGTGGCCATATTGGTTCCACTTTGCACTTCCTTTCCTTTTAATGTTTCTTCCTTACAAGCGAGAAGCATTTGTAGGCAGGCATGTGTGACAAACCCAGACCTACTGGGATCTGCCACACGTTAACTAAGCTGCCACCAACCATTCCCTATAAGAAGTCACACAGACCAGGGATGGATTTTTAACAAATAAAAGAATAAGGTTTATTTAAATACAACACACAGGGAAAATAAAATGATCAGGTGAATAAGATAAAGTAACGTGGCTTATTCTCATTCACACAGGCATACAGTTTGGTTCACCCAGAACCCTTAACTTGAAGCACAGACCCTGAACCTATCAGTTCTGGCTAACCAACAGACACCTGAACCTATCAGGTTGGTACTCTGACACACAGTAGTACCCTGTCTGACACACAGACTCCCACACCAGCTTCTTCTTCCCAGCTGCTGCTTCGTCACATCCCAGCGTCTCCCCTTCTCCACACACGCTTCACATATATATACAGTACAGCCCCTCCTCCTGATGTCCCGCCTTCCACTCCCCATAGGATGGAACTTTCCCTCCAAACCCATGACAGACAGGTAACATCAGTGCTGTATGTAACACCTCCCCTCTTTATAAGTTGTTTTGTAGGGGGAAAGCTAACGTGCTTTTCACCAAAAAACAACCTGAATAAAACATACAACAACAGTTATACATACCATATCATACCTACATATACTTACATCCTAAGTTAACCATAGCAATTAGGCATTTAAACATTTACCATATACATTACATCAATTTACCTTTATTCATACAAACCAAGTTCAAAAAACAGGTACATTTAACTTTTTGTCATCAATATATATACATAGTCCATGTTTCTTTCGCCGTCTTCAATCCTCAGGTCTTCTTGATAAGGCGTCAGCAACACAGTTCACTGACCCTCTGACCACCTCAGACACCCCATCTTAGTTAGAAGCAAGCTGCCCATGTTGCTGGAAGTAGTAGATAACTAGTAGCTATTGATACCCTTCAGTGGGAAAACCACCATATTCAGTGTCACCTACCTGCTAGAAAAGTCAGAACTTGGGAATCCTACAATATTCCATTGCTGCTGGGAATACCTGAAATCATCGCTTTCTTCTTCACCTGCTCAAAGGTAAGTTTCTTTGGGGATAAACTTTGGAGATGCTTAAACTCAAGAATTGTAAAGACAACCTAAGAACTGGATGCAAAGACCAAGGCCCACTATATCATTTCTGAATGTTTTCATGTGACATGTGACATAAAAAGAGGGACAGAACCATGTTTAAATCAAATTCAATTTAAGATTAAATTTAGTGACTATGGAATGGGGCAAATTCTACTAGCAATTTCTCTGGGTTCCAGCTTTAAAATACTGGCCTGATATCTGAACATACCTTCTAAGTTTGAGTCATACAAGAAAAAAGAAAGAAAAGAAAAGAAAATTCAGTACACCAGCAGTCAGCTCCTACCTACCTTAACTCAACAACAAACCCAGGTTTGGCATGTATAGTCCACTCACAGTGGGCATTCAGTGGATAACTCTCCAATAAAATCTGGCCCCTTGAAGCCTGGAGAACTTGTCCACACTCTGAAGGAGAGAGGAGATAAGAAGAAGACCATCAGTGTCTATGAGGAAAACAGGACCCAAGAAACATCAAGGTAAAAAAATAAAAATAATCCTGAGCCAGTTAACATGCTAGCAGATCCTCCCTTTTGAATATGGAAAAGAACCATACAAATCGGACATCTTCCCACTTGACAATGATGTATTATAATCTTATACAACACACAGCCAACAATCGTTAACTTTAAAACAGAACATAGCTTAAGTCATGTTCCCTGCATATGTTCACTCATGTGTATTCCAGAAAGATTCAGAAAAGGTGGTCTAATCAAAGCTACTCTTGAACTACATTTCAAGAAGTTTTCAGGGCTGTGGGCAGGCCAGCTCACATCTCTGAATGTGGCAAGTTATTTTTTCCCACATGCATAGACAGTAGGAGGTGGACTACAAAATATCACCTTCTAGTTGTGATGCATTAAAGGTATGAGTGTATCACATTCAATCACATGCTAAATGCCACATATCTCAGGATTTCCTTCCTACAAGATTCTACAGTGTTAAGACCCATCCATTCTTACAAAAACAAACTGTTTGTCAGGTTATCCTCATTTACCCTCAATTAAGCGCACTTAGATGAAACAGAAAACAAGCTGAGAAGTGTTCATCATAAGTGTTTCATTCCACACTAGTGCTTGTTAGTTCCTGATGTGAAAAGGCTGGAGAATTAATTACTTTGCCCCTATGGCTGTCATTAGGATACCATTGGGAAATGCCAGGAACCCTTGCAACGTACATGATAATGTGGCTTCCCACACTGGAGAGAGGAAATCTAGCACTGTTGCTGGCTCCTACCTCAAAACAACCTGAAACAATGCTGCAGGAAACCTTCTTCAGAGAGTTTGACAAGATCCTTGAATCACCTCAGGGAACATTCCCCTTTTGCTACAAGGGGGCTTTTGAGTCGCCTTTGTTGCTATTGCCTTGGATGAGAAAGAACTCAAAGAGATGGTGCTGTGCAAGGAATACTGAATGCAGCTTTCTTGGGAGAACAGTACAGTCTGAACTTGCAGAACATTCCTGCCAAGGAAACGGGACTGGCCAACAAAGCAGGTGGTCCAAATGCTAAAGGCAGAGCCATTCAAAGAGTGCCCCCAAGGGAAAAGGCTCTCAATTACTACAAACCTTCTTTGCATGAAGCCTATCCATGGTAAACTCCAATCTTTCTTTTCTCTTTGCCTTGCTCACTTCAAGTAAGGTTGATGTAATTCCCCAAGACCCCTGTAAGCAAACTTTTGGGGGAATCCAGCTCCACCATCTTCCAAGCAGAAGGGTCTTTTATTACTCACCAAAGCTTGGAGACCTTGAAAAGTCCTCAAGATTAATTTACACACCAAACACTAATCCCTGCAAATCCTGCCTTATTCTGAACAGGAGGAGACAGAGAGGAAAAAAAAATCTATTCTGAAAGATTGTCAGCATCACTGTTTCTTTAATGTATGAAAAAAGAAGCAAAACTGTTTTCTGGGATTCAGAATATTTCTAATTTGAGGCAAAAAAAATGACAAAAAGAACAGTGACTAGATCTTTTCAATAACCACAGTTGACATTATGTGTTTGCACCTCCCACCCGTTTATGACTAGGTTAAATCATGGGCTATCTTCTAGATCACAGCTGGGCAATTATAGGGTCTCTAGATGTTGTTAGACCACAACTCCTATCTGGACTAGGCAGTATAGCCAATGGTGATGGATCATGGGAGCTGCAGTCCCACAATGTGCCTGTGAGACTCCAAGTGCCAGTGGACATTCAAAACCAAACTGAAGTATAGGAAAAAAAAACCTTGTATCTGTGTCCAGGTTGGAAGAAAACAGGCAGCAGAATAGGACAGACTCAGTTATGTCTACCTGGAAGGATGTAGAATGGATGTAAGTCAACTGGGGGGAAATAGAAATTGAATTCAACTATCTTCTCCTTCTGAGTGTGCCTGTCCTCTAATTAGAAACAATGAGTGGGAAGTTTCACATATTAGTCCCAAAACGTCAGTTGATTTTATTGTGTATACAGTACTTGGGGTCACCCCACTCCAAAATGCATATCAACAAAACTAGAAAATATGCAGAGAAAACCTTGCAGAATGATTGAGAGATAAAAGAACAGGTCCTTATAACACATCTAGAAATTTGCCCTTGTTTGTTAGGGAGGAAAAGGGACAGAATTTTATAAAATCATGTGTGCTATGGAGAACAACCTCCATAAAGTCCTACTCCACCATCTCAGCATGATGTGGAAGTGACACAAGGTTCTCGGAGGCCACACCAATGGACCTTAGGCACTGACAAGCTTACCAGATTGCTAGGGCTTCAAGTACAGTTCTGGATGTGGATTGGGAGGCTGTCATCAGAGAACCAGTTTAGCTAAGCATGGAGACACTATCACAAAGTTGTCTGCCTGGTAACAAACTGGTTACAACAACTAGGTGTGGAACCATTTGGGTTTGTAAAGGTAATAACTAGATCAGTGAAAAAAAGCTGTCCATATATTGGTGAGTTACTTGAAGAAGGGTCTGTCAGAAAGGACGCAGAGAAGACCCCACAGGAGGACATGAGTAGGACCGAAGCGTAGCAAAGTACAGTCGCTGAGCCCACACTCTACAAAAAGAAGAAGAGGAGAGTAGTTGTAGTAGGAGACTCCCTGCTATGTGGAATTGAGACCGAAATATGTGGAGAGGATCCATGGACTCACCAGGTATGCTGTCTCCCTGGAGTACAGGTAAGAGATGTGATGGAAGGATTGCCATCACTCGTAAGACCTACAGATATATATGTCCCTTTCTTCTTGTCCATGTGGGAACAAATGACACAGCCAAGAGGAGCTACCAAGAAATCATGCCTGACTCTGAAGCTCTGGGAAGGAAACTCAAGGACTTTGGGTCCCTGATAGTTTTTTCTTCCATCCTACCAGTGCTCGGAAGAGGAATCGAAAGCAAAAGGAAGATCTTTTGGGTGAATGACTGGCTACGAAAGTGGTGTTGACAAGAGGGATTGGGTTTTTGGGACCATGGGCTAAGCTTCCTGGAAGAAGGACTGCTAGCAAGAGATGGATTGCATCTAACAAGGACTGGGAAGAATGTGTTTCACCACAGCATGAAGAACTTCATCAGGAGGGCTTTAAACAAGCATAAAGGGTAGATGAAGCCTTAACACACAATAAGAGGAACAGACCAAACAGATCAAAAGGGCAGCAATAATAACATTAACAATAATAATCAAAATAATAATGGTAACAATAATCATCCTAATAATAATCATAATATCCATAAAAATGTACAAAGACAAACAGACCACAAATCACACACACTCCGATGTCTGTATACGAATGCCAGGAGTATGGGAAACAAACAAGAACTGGAAATTTTAATTCAGGAGGGGAAGTTTGACTTGATAGGAATAACTGAAACTTGGTG